ATACGGACCAGGATGCCATTGGCCTGCTGGCTCATGTTCAGCTTCCTGTCAGTCCAAACTCCCAGGTCCCTTTCCACCTGGCTGCTCTCCAGCCACTCTGTGCCCAGCCTGTAGCACTGCAGGGGTTGTTGTGGCCAAAGTGCAGGACACAGCACTTGGCCTTGTTGAACCTCATCCCATTGGAATCAGACCATCTCTCCAGCTTGTCCAGATTGCTCTGAAGAGCCCTCCTGGCCTTCCAGCAGATCACTACTCCCCTCCAGCTTGGTGTCAGCTGCAAATTTGCTGATGGTGGACTCAATCCCCTCTTCCAGATCATCAGTAAAGATGTTAAACAGGACTGGTCCCAACACTGATCTCTGGGGGACACCACTGGTGACTGGCCACCAACTGGATGCAGCCCTGTTCACCACCCTTCGGGCCCAGGTGGTGGGCCCGGCCCTCCAGCCAGTTCCTAACACAGCAGAGAGTGGCCCTGTCCAAGCTGTGGGCTGCAGCTTTTATAAGAGTATGCTTTGGGACATGGTGCCAAAGGCTTTGCTGAAATCCAGGTAGACAACATCCACAGCCTTTCCCTCATCCACCAGGTGGGTCACCTGGTCATAAAAAGAAATCTGGTTGGTCCAGCAGGACTTGCCTTTCCTAAATCCAGACTGGCTGGGTCTGATCCCTTGATTTTCCTGTATGTGCCACATGATCACACTTGATTCCTGTGCACCCACTTGCTGGCAGAGCATGAGAAACTGATAAGTAAGTCCTTGACTTAGTGTAAGCACTACTTAGCGACAACTGAAACGTCCATGTGTTATCAACATTATTCTCATACTATATCCAAAACACAGCACTGTACCAGCTACTAGGAAGAAAATTAACTCTATCCCAGCCAAAACAGGCTGTAAGATGCATCTGCTAAGCGTGATCAGTATCAAGATGTAGGGGTGGGGCAGATTTTGTACTTCCCAAATGCCTCTGCTGATCAATGCCAGAGTAAAAGCAGAAGCACAATTGGATGAATGAAAGCAGCATGGTAGGGGGTAGAAAGCTGAGGAAGTAGGTACATCAGAGTTTGAACAGAGTGATAGGAAGAAGAGATATCCAGGAGAGGCGGAGAAGAAGGCAGAGTATAAATCCAGGGCCTCAGTGAGGGACTGTGGAACTGAAGAAAAACTCTGGAGTATATATAAAAGAGGCCTTTAAACGGGACTTCCAGTGACATCTGGAACAATAAATGGCTGTACTAAACAGAGTTAAAAATCTCTAGAAAAAAAGTATGCATCCTTCCCTCTGTAGAAATGTAAAAGCCCTCTTGGAAACCTGTGCTGAACTGTTGTTCTATCCCTCCCATAATAGAACAGGGAAGTTATCACTGGGAAAGGGCAAGGCTCTATTTCAGGATCACATTTCCCAAAGAAAATGAGAGTGAAATATAACTGTGGATATAATTTTACTGCCTTATGCAAGAAGTCAGACATATGCTCATGATTATTTTAATTGTAAAAGAATGGCTGCCTCTCTCATGTTGAGGAGAAAGGAAATTTCTCTTTCTCATTATTGTTTGAAAGTCTGGATTCATGTCAGTAAAGGTCCACAGCACTTCCAAAAATTAGGTCATACACGCTGTTATGGGCAGCTGGCTTGTCCACCAGTGTCTGTAAGAGCTGGAGTGACAGCTCTGGTTGAAGAAGACACTCATGCTCCCAGGAAGTCTGTTCCAGGGACTTTAGCTGCCTCTGTGAAAGGCTCACAGCTTAGGTCTGGCTTCTCTTGGAGATCAACCTTAAGCTTGAAACTGTCAGAGCATGGTACAGGGATCATATCTGAAGGAAAACATCTTCCTAGTTAGGGAAAACCGTCACGCCTTCATTTGTCATATTTTTAAGATAATTCTAGCTGTCTGCTGTAGAGGTGTGCGCTGGATAAGTGCAGTATCTATGCACACAGAAAACTTGCTGCTGACAGCTCAAGTCAAACCATTTTTCCTGTCTTTGATAATACCTGTAAGGAGCTATGGATACTACAGTGATTGGTACTTTAGGTGTGCCTATCAAAGAAGAAAAACAAATTATGGGATAATAAGGGTTAACAATGCTTTCTTGGTGACTTTAAAAATAATGTGCATTTTGCCCCGTGCAATATTTCAGTGGGCATCAGGAACAAGAACCCTCCAAGATTTCCTGAGTTTTTGTTCAATCTGTAGCCTTGCTTTGAGCCACAAAGGTGGGCAAATTCGGTTATTATTACTGAGCATCCCTGAAGTATACAGGCTCCCTTGAAACTCAAACTCACAGAGAAATTTAGAGATGCAAAACTTTGCAAAACACGTGCAAAATGCCTGCTTTTCCTTTTCACTTGAGCTTAGGACTGGTTTTGACTCTCAAATACAGTGCCATATACAACACTGTGTTGCCCCATTCCTTTCCAATATTCTGTCTCTACTTCTTCTATAGCCTTGGGGAAGATGCCGATTATCTGTATGTCTTTGGTTTCCTAAAATGTAAATTAAACTAATGGTTACCCACACTGTGATGAGGTCCTGACTCTTCATCCATTAATGTTTTCAAAATGCTTTGGGATTCTGCATAGAATGACATTGTGCTTGTTTATATGCAGGTGAAAGAGCATGTTTTAGCTAAGATGGGAAGTGTAGGTGGAATAAGATCAGATGCAGATGAAATGACTCAGGCCTTTAGAACTGAAAAGTCATTTGTGTACCTGAGGACCTAATGTCAACCGATGAATGCTTTGCCACGGTCCTTATAAAAACCATCTCTCTGACAAACAAGATTTATTGACCCACTCCCAATAGGCTGGAGCACTCAGAAGCCCATGATGCCATCAAGGCATCAGTGTGTCACAGGCAGGTGGCTGGATTTCATGAGTCTGTGCTGAGTTACAGGCATGTTGTCCATCACAGCATTTGAATCCTGCACACCAAAGAGCAGATGTAAGCAATGCAGGGATCTAACACAGAACAGCTTGGGTGACTTCAGAGTGACTGTGTGCATCTGATGGGAAATGGTAGTATCAGGGCAGAGCAGGTGTGAGTCATCTCCCAGGAGAGGCAGGCAGAGAAAAGGAGATGGGGAGGGGAGGAGGAAAGCAAGAAACAGATTAGCTCATACAGATATATTCCCTCTGCCTGGCTTCCCCTCCCTTTGTGCATCCCCCTCTCCCTCCACAACACACATACATAAACACGGAGACTTCACTGTTACTGCTCGATTCCAAAGGCCTTTCAGACAGATCATTTGCTGCTTTGTTTTCTTTCCTTGCCCATTTCTGCCCCAAATTCAAGATCATTTAATATGTGGGTAGATAAAACTTGAGCAGTTCTTCAATAAACATTTACTTTCTGCTGTGCATTAGTCCAGTTCAATAATTCCTCTGTCAGGGACTCAAATAAAAGTGGGATGAGGATCTAGACAGCATTGGCTGCGGAATGATTGCTGTATTTCTTGTAGGATCAGCTTTCACCACATCCCCAGTGTGTGCCAAGAGCCTTGCTCTAATGACTTAAATATGCAAGGCCATGATCAGAGCAGGAGGTCTTTCAAGTTTGTTAGCTGGATAAGGCAGATGAGCAGTACAGGAGGTGAATGAGTAGCAGAGAGAATCTATGTGTTATCAACACAGGGGAAAGGACACCCCAGTGCAAACAACTCGTGTTGCAAATGTTCCTTGTCACCATTAAGCCTTCAAAGAGCTAGGTGTGCTCTCTCTGACAGGCAATGAAACACACAGATTCCAAATGAAAGCACTGCCCTACTCGCCAGCTCTACAAGTTGTTCTGAGGCTGTAGCACCAGTATTTAGGACAATGGAGGAAATAATCTCTCCAGAAAAGGAATGGTACTCAAAATGTTTGTTAGATTAAAAGCTTAAACAGCAGAAGAGTTCTTGGGAGGAATAGATTAATAACAAACAAGACAGCCACAGATCCCCATGGATTCCTTGCTCTACCAAATGACCTCACCCCTGTGCACGGTGCCAAATTCTGCCAGATTGTTACCAAATACAGAATAAGTGGTTTTAAACTGCATTTAGAGATGATGACTGTGCACCTACAGGAACAATGGAGAAAAGAAGTAGGGTGACTCTTTCTTATTCAAGTCCCAAAGGGCCGGGGAAGGGAGATGAGTTTTTCTTTTAATTATGAGGAGACACGCAAGGTGTTCTGGTAAAGACAGTAATGGAAAAGTGCCTAGCAGTAAAGAAAGGGGCACTACAGAGTAAGCAGTAGCACAGAGTATGAACAAATATACAGAAGAGATCCAACTCTAAGCACATGGGAAAGCCATGGTCAGGGAAGATGCTTGTGTTAACGTATATATCGATAACAAGTCCCAAAGGCTTTTCTCCTGCTGTATCTTGACAACATTTTTCTCACCTGTAACAAAAGTAGAAGATTTTATATTTAAGTGTGGGTTTATGTGTATGTATGGCAGGGAGTCAAATGAAAAAGCCTGGGGAAATTTGACCATTCTCCGCTGAGAGAACCCTCTTTTTCTGCAAGCATTGAATGCACTCCTTTCACACCATCTGAAATTATGGGTTGAAGTAATTAAGACAAAAATAAAGAGAATCAAATCACTGAGAAAGTCCCATAATGCCAAAGGTTTAGTGTTCCATAACAGACCGGGATGACTCATCTGCAAAGCACTCTGAAATCCTCCTGCATGTTGACACAACTCCATTGTCCTGCTGTTCAGTGTCTGTATTCCAGTTGTCACAGAAAATGAAAGGACAATACTCATTGTTATGTTGCAGCTGTATATTGTGACTGATTCATAGTTTCCCTTTTGGGGAGGAACACAAGCTGGTCTTGCAGGTCCTCAGACATTTGTGACACACATGTGCAATTCTTACATATCTGAAGATGGTGAATATTAGACCCCACTTGCTGCTAATAAACCATCGTAAGTGAATAGCTGATATAAGCTGTATAGAAGTGATATGAATGTTTCAAGGTGTAAGCGAGGTGAGGTTTTTAGGCTGGGAAGTCTCTTTTATTAGATGAACCAACATGTTTAGGGGGGAAAAAACCCACAACAGAAAGGCCTTTGGGAATCCGAGACCTTCTCCAGGCTGAATGCTTTCCAGCAGAACCTGAAAAAACAGTGTTGTCGTTAAATGAAAATTCTGTTTTCATAACAAGTTTGAATTTGTTGTATCAAAAAAAAACCAAAAAACAAAAAACAAACAAAAAAAAACCTTGTATGGTTTTTCATTTCACTGAAGCCCCAATATTTCAAAACAAACATGACACCTGTCTGTCTGTCTTTCAACTGATATTTTTTGTGGAGAAAGCAATCCTTTCTAAATGAACTCCAGTCTGGCATAACATTGGAGAGCATGCACCCTCTCTCTCGTTTACATAAATATGTCTTTTATTAACTGTCAGTACAGGAACAATTTATCATGTAAGACATAAGCAGCTGATAAGTAAACAAACTGGATCCTTCCCTGGCATAACTCAGCAGGCCCACGTGAGTTCAATGGGTCAGCATCAGTTTACATCATCTTGAAGTCTAACCCAGAGACGTGTGTAGGAACACAGCCCAAATCCTAACCAATTCTCCATTTCATTTTCCCCAGTTTTAGGTGACAGACAGCAGAAAGTAAGGGAGAGTGAGCCCATACACAGAGGTAATGTGTGTGAGGCTATGCATGTAGACAATCTCTTTTATTAAGCCACTAGTAAACATGGATACGAATAAAAGGCACCTGGGTTGAAAGACAGACAACCGTAGACACTGCTCCTCTGACTTCCTTTCTTATTGTTCGTCTCTGTTTGCTCGGGTGGCAGCCACATGGTTGCCTTTCAATAATTCAGGATCCATTTTGCACGCATGGCCGGTCCTGCTTGTCGCATTTTTTCACCTGATCACAGGTCCAGCTCTCTGTAAATGAAGCAAGGCTTGTAAGGAGCTGCAATATCTTTTATTAGACTGGCTAATACTGAAGGAGGGGGAAGGGAGGATAGCAGGAAGAGTTTGTGTGCCTGAAAGCTTTACCATTTTCTTAATTGTATCAACAACTCCAACAATAATATTACTTTCCCCAACGGCTCATTTTGTTAATTTCCTTATATCATCGTGGCTGTCTTTTCTGCAATTTCAGTGATGCTATGTTCAATTTGTGTGGACCAGGAGCTGCATTCCTACTAAGTGCACACCTCCACTGACACCTATGTGCCGTTTTAATTACCTCTCATGGATACCACAGTTGATACAGGAACAAACAAGGTTTATTAACGTGTGATTAAAGAGTATTTAAATAACTGCCTGTCACTTCACAATTTGAACCACTGATTTGACCACTTATACATGAAGATGTTAGCAGTAGAACTGCTAAAAAGTACATATCAGTAATAAAAATGAAATGAACAGTAAAATAACTGAGTCTGAGTCTCAAGCACGTTTTCCTAGTGTAATATGGAATACACCACTAATGGCCACTGTTCTTTGCAGACTGACGTAGAAGAGCTTGCATTAGAAAGCTCAGTGGGTGCATCACTTTTAATCCACTCATAAACATTTTTACTTAAGAAATATCCTTTTCTTCCTCGTATGCCACTCTTTAGATTAGAGTTTTAATGAATTCACCATCAGGAACATCAAGGTATTATCTTTGCAAACGTGGCTGTAGAATTATCCTGGTATGGAATTAATGCATATAGAATCTTCTGAAGAGTGATACGAAGTGCAGTGTCACACATTCATATAGTACAAGCTACTACAGATCTTTTGGGCACTATGATCCCCTTTGGGGGCTATAGACTGCTGTGTAGAAGGGATAGAAAAGAGCCAAACAAAAATTAAGGATGTTGTAAATATCAGTCACCTGTGTTTAACAAGGCAAAGGTGTCTTTCTTATGTCTGTCACCTCCATCTTTTCTTCCCCTTTTCTATCTTCTGACCTGGTCTAAGTGGCATACAGAAAGGAGTATTCCTTCCCTCTCCTCTGAGCACCTCTTTTTCAGTCCTAAGCACTCCCAAAACAAGAGACTGTCCCCACAGAGATCAGTCCTGAGAGTTTAAGCTAACCGTGTATTTCAAAATAACAAGGTTTGAGTTCATTGCACTTGCCATTAGGGCACATTTGCTTTGTGTTTCCAGGCTTTTATCTGCAACCATGAAGGACAGATGTTTTATCAATTTTTTTAAATGTTTATAAAGAAAGCTGAGGATCTCCTTTAATATCTCAGTAGTTTAAGCAGTATGAGGCAGCAGAGACAACTCTGATTTCTGGGGTCTTGACTCCCACTTCTTGCTTTACTTGTTACACTGATGTTCAGCAGAAGTTAAGATGCCAGTAACAATTTATGTGTCTCTCCCATTAGCAGCTTTGACAAATCTCTTGGATTGTCCTTTAGGTTTGTTAAGGTTTATTGTTTTGTTCCAATCCCATCTCTTATTATGTATGAATATTTATACATATATTTAATCTGTTTTGTTCTCCTGTCTTGCCTTGGGTTATATTTTTTTTTTACTTGGTGCTTTCCATTTTGATTGAGGTGGTGACTAGATGGGCCTCATCTTCCTCTTGGTTCAAAGAACAATTCATTATTTGCTCATGTCTGGGGAATGAATGCCTCTGTATGATATGTTGGGAGACAGGGATAAACATCCCTTCTGGCTGATTGATAGTCTTATTAAAGATTGCAGTAGGTGAAATAATCCCCTGTAGCTTCATAGGGGTAAGATCCCTTTCACTTTTCCCCTTAGACTGGCTTTAGGGCATGCTTGGGACTTGGCTTATGCTCTGTCCAATCTTAGAGCATTACTTAATTAGGCTTTATTGAAAGCTGTTAGCATTGATCAATGGTGGCACACACTTTTTTAACTGAGGATGATGACCACAGTGTTTACCTACTAAAAACTTGCAAATGAAATTTGAGTTTACATATTGATTAAGTTTATTATAAAATTACAGCAAAAATAACAACAAATTATCAAAGATTTTGAGCTCTTAGTTGTCATCTGCAATATGCAGGAGGAGGAAGAAACAGCAGTGGTAGCTTGATTCCCCATTTATGTACTCCTTGCTTGAGTTTTCCACTTTGCTTCCATATTGATCTTCTCTTAAGGGGCTTCTTTGCACATTTTCCCATCCTGTGGTCCATCACTGGTTGCACCCTTGACACTGTCAATGCATTCAGCCTTGTCCTCTTCCTCCCACTACCCTCTTACCTTCTCCCACTCTACCCTGTCTGCAGGAGACAACCTTCTGGACTCTGTCCCTCTCATTCCATAAATCCTTTCTTGGTCATTTTTTCCAGGCAACTCTCAGGAACATTTATCATCCAGTCCCCTCATTCACTGAATGTCCTTTCTAAATTAATAATTAGAGAACAAACAAAATGTGTACATAGCCTGCAATGTGTTTAGCTATTGTCGCTTTCTGATCCAAAGCATGTGAAAATCAGTGTGGACCCCTCCCTTGATGCTACATTCCTTATCCTTCCTATAAAATGAATTTTTTTTTTCTTGTAATGCGCTGCTGCAATCCATATAATAAATTAGATTATAATCCCCTCATGGGCAAGGACCTGTCTTTTTGATATGCCTGTGCATTGTTGATCTCATAGTACATACGCATCTTTGCACATTCTCACCTCCTGCCTATATCCAGCGCACCAGGATATCAGAATGAAATGAGAATGAAAGTGGACAATATTTTTCTAATTATTAGCATGCAGATAAGCCCCTTTAATTAAGGAAATTATATACCCTGTAAAAAAGAAAGCTTCCCTGTCAGACTGCAGTCTTGTAATGGCTTTGTGTTTGTGCAATTAGGACCAAACCTTGAAGCCACCGAAGCCAACAGTGGCCCTTAATGGGATTAATTCTTCATTTGTGGGGTGATGGGCTAGATGATCTAAGAGGCCTTTTGCGTCTTGCGCTTCTCCAATCTCTCTCAGGGTAAATGACACATAATGGAGAAGACAGCTGTTTTTGAATAAACTGCATTAAGTGTCCACATGTATTTCCTAATGCAGGTTAAAAAACCCCCACCCCTGTCTCTCTGCTGGCGTGCGTGCCCCCCTTACAGAGCAGGTCTCTCCTGTGCTGCAGACAGTGCATGAGCTCGTCAATACCCTGCAGGTTTCTCGGGGGTGTGTATCTCTGTATTTCCCGACATCCTCTGGGAAAACTCCGCAGCTAACGCTAATCAAATTGAACCACTGTCAAGACTTCCTGCGAAGCTTCGAGGAAACATTTCTGAATATTAGAGGTACAGGAGAGGAGAGTTAAGGTTGGGGGAGGGAGGCAGGACAGTTTTAGAGCTTAAGTGGATTACATAGCTCCATAACCCAGTTATGGGTCCGTGGACTCGAGTGAGCTGTTTTTTCCCCTCCTCTGGCTGTCTGCCTGTCAGATAGTTCCCCTGACAGGCAGGCTTTATTAACCTCCCCCAGCTGGCTCTCTCAGCATTTCTTATTTTCCAGTGCTTGCATCCCCTAGCAGCACATCTCAGCCCTTCTCATATCTCTAAGCTCCCTGGGGTCCTTCCTTTAGCTGCACCAGCTGTCGGCACCCGTTGAAGTCTCCTTACAAACCCACTCTACCCACATTTACCAAACCCAGTGACTGCTCTCTGATCTCTGTCCATGCAAACCCCACATAGCCAGCAAAGGCTGCAAGGTTTAGCTCAGACCATGGGACCTACCTTTCAAAGGTAAACTGATTTGCTTCTATTTTAAATAGCTGAGGGCTAGCTTAAAAACAGATGAGCACTTGAGCACCAATGTTGGCTGGTATGAATGAGTAGCAAGTGCCTAGCACATCTGGGTGTGCTAATATTTCCACAATTTGCAAAACAATTGTGTGATCATGAGTTAACTGTGAGCCTGGTTGTTGAGCCTGAGCCCTGATATGTCCCCTCTAGACTGAGGTGTGAGCCTGACATCTGCTGGGGACAGCACCCTGCTACAGAAAATGGCAGGCCATCCTTCCTCAGGGATGCTCTGCCAGGAGGGGTGGTGGCAGGGAGGTTGCTGCCTGAGGCACTCTGAATGGGATACATCCAGCCTGGAGGAGGCAACACAGACCAAGGACAGAGTGACCCAACTGCAGCCTGATATGAGGTAAGGGCTGAAAACCCAATTTACACTGGAGGGCTTCAGTCCCCCAGGAATGAGACAGAACTAAGACAGCAGCCAACGAGTGTATACCCAGGGTTTACAACGTCTGCATGGGTGTCCATGGCCACACGAGAGACAGAGCTCTGTGTCTGCACTGACACCAAGCTGAAATCTGCTTTCCCTCTTTCCTTTTGAAGTATCCACCACTGTGACTATGATGTTTTTCCTTTGCTGACATACCTGGTGGCTTGCCTGACTCTTATTCAGCCCTCTGGGTTTGATAGCCAGAAATTCTGCACAACAGACTCACAAAGTCACTGCTTGGTGTCCACCATCCATGTGTCTCTGTGTCTCCTTTCTGTCCACAGCCACAGCCTCCTTCCCTTCCCTGCCACTATGATGTATCTGTATGGGACTTTTGTCCAGTCTTACAGGAAAGGATGGAATCCAGGGCTGACTGTAAGAAAGTCAAGTATGAGTGGCTCAAGGACATAATGAGTGATAGAGTAGAAGTAAGTGTCCCTTGGTCTGATTAAATACTGATGTGTTGCCTTAAAACTGTTCTGTGGTATTGGCTCGGGCTTGAGTGCCATAAAGGAGGGTGATGCATCCCTGGGCATCGCTTTGTCAGTGAGGGCATCAGGTCTTCTGCTCTGACTAGATGCAGATAACCAGCCACAGTCTGGCACGTGGGTCCTTGCCTCTTCCCAGCCCCAGGCAGGGCCCAGTGTCCCCCCATGGTACTGCACAGGTTGCCACTTTGCCTCTTGACTAAGATCACTGCCCTTCAGTAGTGATTTGGGAGCAAGAGATCCTGCACATGCTGCTGCTGGTGCTCAGCAAATCCCTGTGGTTGCTGTGGCTGGCAGGCCCCTGCCCAAAAGCAACAGTATTCTCATTAATCATCCTTTGAATACAGACAGAGGTGCAGGCACAGCACAGCCTCCACCCTACAATGCTGAGGGTTTGCAAAGGAGGACACAGCCAAGGGTGAAGGATCCCCAGGCTGGTGCCAGAGAACTGAAGGCTCTGCTGGGCACGATGCAACAACCCCTGGACATGTTGGTGTATGGGTCCCTAAAATCTGAGGGCTGTAGCGTTTGGTCAGGTTGGACGGGGCTCTGAACAAACTGGTCTAGTGGAAGGTGCCCCTGCCCATGGCAGGGAGATTGGAAATAGGTAATCTTTAAGGTCCTTTCCAACCCAAACTATTCTATGGTTCTATGATAAGGAGCTGTGCTGCTTTTGGATCTGCGTACAGCTCACCCAGTACCAGTATAGGCACTCTAGGTCATGATCCAGTGGATATATTAAAAAGAGGGATACCAGGCAGTGTGCAGACAATATGTTAGCTTGGAGATTTGTTGATAGCAGGACTATCAGCAGCACCTTTGGGCTCTCTGCCAACACCTAAATAATTGGAAGTGTTACTTTCTCCTAAAAGTAAGCCTGGCCTTTGTGCTGTTTAGTCATAGCATTGTATTTTTTCCTGACAGACATGAGCATATAAAACATATATTTTAAGATCTTTAGGAGAAAAAAGAAGTTGGCAGTTCTCATGGCTTTATCAGGGTTCTTATGACAGTGTATGTTGGTTTTTTTCCATAAAGATTCATATTCTAGAGGAATATGACTAGTTGAGGACCTCAGAGGTTTCATTAGTATTTTTAGATTGAGTTTTTAGAGCTTTAGATATGGAGGAACACTAAGAACTTGATGCCAGTTTAACCTAATGATTCAGAAACCACAAAGCAAATAATAATAAGCTAACACATCTATTTTTAAACTCATGATTTAAGCCACTGTCATGATTTTGATAGGGCCTGACATGATTTTCCAGCATCGGGACTGGTAATAAAGCTTTTGTCTACCAATTTGAATGGAAAATCCTTTGAAAATCCTCCAGCTTGCTTGCCTTAGTCAATACTTAACAAGGACTCAGCCACAGCAGCGAAAAATATCCACCAGTCAGGACTTTTTTTTTGACTCTCTCTTCCCGCATAGAAAAAAATCTGACACCCAGTAGTCATGATTCATTGTAGTCCCAGGGTCCAGTTTGAGAAACTTATATGCAGAGATCCCTGTACATGGGAATCCTGGAGCTGACAACAGCCTCCCTGGAGTCCAAACAGAGGGCAGGAGCATCCCTGTGTCAAAGGAGTTTTCCATAGGGCTCAGCATGAACTGAAGAGAGACGAGGACAGACCTGAGTCAAATCTACACAGCTGGATTGCATTTGTGCTGCAGTTATTCCATGTCCCTGTAAAGTTATCCTTTGATTGAGCAGGAGCTGAAGGTAAGATGAGCTTCAGAGATGCGGAGAGGGCCAAGCCATGGCACAGAGCCTCTGTGCAGCTCCTTCAGTCCCTGTGTGGGCACATGAAATCGCTTGTCTAGTGGCTGTGTCCGTGGAGGAGTGGGAGAATGCCAGCTGGTCCCTGTGGTATTTAATTTCTTCTCGGGAGCTGAGCGAGGCCAACGTACATGGGATGAACCAGCTGAAAGCAGGAGAGATGAAGTGCCATGCCTACTATCCCAGCCCGCTGTGCCCTGGCAGTCTGGATCCAGATACTGAACCTTTTTTATGCGCCTAGACACAACCTAATGTTTTCCAGCTCATCCAAAGCGTCTGGGATCAACTGAAGGAGCAGCAGGCACTGAGTAAGGCAGATCCATCTCAGTGCTATTTTGAGGCACTCAGCTTGCTGGCCAGCGGGTATGCTGTTATTCCTCTAATACAAGACAACAAACACATGGGGAATATATATGAAAAAAACAGGTGACTCAGAAGTGAGAATAGCTTCATTCTGTCATTAGACGACAGTAATTTGCCACATATTTGTATCAACCTTAAAAATGTCTGCACAAAGCAGCACTGCCCCGTCACATGCTCTAGGCTATGTGTGTGGCCACAGCTGCCTGCTGCAGGGGAGCAGGAGAGGGTCCACAGTCAGTTGCTGTTTGACCCCAGTTTCTTCTTTTTGTCTGAAGAGAGGAAAAGGGTGAATCCTACTGCTTGACCTTAAATCCATCAGGAAGTAATTTGAAACTTTGAGTAGAGCTTGGTCTTTTCTTCCTCATATTAAAATGGGAGAAGATGGTGCTTTATAGGTGTCTTATGTCAGCAAGTATGCACTGATCTTTAAAGAATGATGTGAATAGCCATTTGTGCTACTGCTGGACACAGAGCTGTCAGTAGAAGTATTACCTGAAATGAAATCGTAGACAAAAAGTGAATTGTGAATGGCCTTGATCAACTAAATAGGTGTGTTCACTCTGAGGACTAATGATAACACAAGTTTGTACTGGGTTTGTGTGGCCATGCTTTGGTAGTGGGAGGGCTGCAGGCATGACTTCTGTGAGAAGATGCTAGAAGCTTCCCCTATGTCCAATAGAACCCATACCAGCAGCACCAAGATGGACCTACCATCAGTCAAAGCCAAGCTCATCACTGATAGTGGTAGTGCCTCTGGGATAACATATTCAAGAGTTGGGAAAAAACTTCTGTGCAACAGCATCCAGGAAAGAGGAGTGAGAATATGTGAGAGATATAATTCTGCAGGCACCCAGGTCAGTAAATGAGATGGGGGAGAAGGTGCTCCAGATGCTGGAACAGAGAATTCCCTGCAGCCCATGGCCATCCTGGGTGGACCAGATGTTCACCTGCAGCCCATGGAGGACTCCATGCTGGAATAGGTGGATGCCCAAAGGATATCGTGACCCCATGGGAAACCCATGCTGGGGCAGGCTCCTGGCAGAACCTGAGGCACCATGGAGATAGGAGCCCATGCTGGAACAGGTTTGCTGGCAGGAATTGTGACCTTGTGGGGGACCCACAGTGGAGTGGGCTGTTCCTGAAGGACTGCACCCCATGAAAGGGACCCACACTGAAACAGTTTGTGAAGAACTTCAGCCTGTGGGAAGGACTCATGCTGGAGAAGTTCATGAGGGACTGTTTCCCATGGGAGGGACTCCACAGTAGGAGGGTGAGAGTGCCAGGAGTCCTCCCCCTGAGGAGGAAGGAGCAGCAGAGACAATGTGTGATGAACCGATTGCAACCCTCATTCCTCTCTCCCTGCACCACTGTGGAGAGAAGGGAGAGAAAATTATGAGTGAAATTAAGATGTTTTAAGGTTCTATTTTATTTCTCATTTCTTTACTCTGATTTGTTTGGTAGTAAATTAAATTGATTTTCCCCAAGTCAAGTCTGTTTTGCCTGTGACAGCAATCAGTAAGTGATCCCTACCCATCCTTACCTCAACCCCCATGCCTTTGTTGTATTTTTCCAACCCTTTCCAGCTAAGGAGGAGAATGACAGAGTGACTTTGGTGGGCATCCGGTGTCTCACCACACTGTTTAAGGAAAAAAAATTTTCCTTACCCTGAAAGCACCTCCCACATCTGCCCTGCTGAAGGAAAAGTTATTTGTGAAGAAATAAAATTTTTTTAAGTGATCTAGGAGCCTCAGATCCATTTGTTAATATGCCAACCTATTTACTTAAAAAAATCTCATTGTAAGGCTTTTTATTTTCTTGGTTTTTCAAGGCAGAGATTTTGGTGTTGGCTATTTTAAAACAAAACTAAAACCAAGTATCTGCATGTATCTGGAATGCATCATCCCTACTGCCAGCAGTGTGCACGCCATCTATTAATGAAAAAATGAATGAATTAATGTGAAAAAGCTGCATGGGGAATGACTGGAAACTCCTAATCCAAGCCTAGAGCTCTGCCATCATGACTATAGAAATAGAAGGGATGGAGCAGCTCCCTGCTCACTCCCTGACTGGAGGATCACACTGCTGCTGGGGGCAAGAAAAAGCCATTACCTTTTCATCAGTATTCTTCTCTATTTCTCCACATTTTTTAAAGAGAAAAACAAATATCTTTTTCAGAAAAAAAAATTTATGAAAAATCAGAAAATAGAAAGAGCTAAAAGGAGCTAAACACCTTTTTAGAGACAGGAGAATGGGGGCAAGTTTTCCAGTGGCATTTCTTTCTCTGAAGTAATCTCCCATTATTTCAGGGAAAGCAGTTGGCAACTTTCCCTCATCTTGGTTTGGCCCATGGCACCAAAGAAACACAGAGTCAAATGGTGTGGAAGATGGGAATCCCCTGTGCCCTGGCTACCACAGTCCCCACATTGCTTCTTCCTATAGCTTGTTTTGAAGAAAGCAGGCAGCAGTCTTTCAAGGATGTATAAGATCTGCTTCATATTTATTTCAGGTGCCAACTGTGAGTGCAAATGCTCCCCACTCACCCATTTTCAAAGTCCCAGGTGGAAGGGGAGTCTACCTGTTTGCAGGAGAGTGTTTGTTACTGATCCTTCCAACAAGTGCTCTGATTCACAGCAGCTATGGCTTTGCCAGTGCCCTGTTAATTTAGTTACCACAGCAT